ACCTGCTTTTCCCGCAAAGCTGCAAGCAGTTCGGCGGTCCCATCGTCGTGTACAGCCGTTCCTCTGATGGACAAGACTCGCGATGAATCTAGAGTGGATCAAGCTGTGATGGAGCGTAAGCCTGCTGGCTGACCCGCCAAGGTGTTTCTAATAACCTTCGCCAGAGCTCGTGCGGATCTGTCATGGATTTTGCTGCAGTTGTTCAGCATGATGGAGTCAATGAAAAGCATCTGTGATGGTAGTGGAATGGGACAGAATGAGACGACGAGCAAATACCCGCTTCTTCTCTATTGCTCCACAAATGCGAATGATCGCCTCATCGGTCAAGACTCGGTTTTCGCTCAAATCCAGAGTACCTAGCAACACCACTAGTCTTCAACCGGAGTAACTCACATGGCCTGTATCACGCGATAACTGAGCTACACAGCTGAATCGGTGCGTCATGAAATTGGCATAGTATTGGTCGGCAGGTCCCAACAGTAGTCGCAATCTCGAAGACTAGGATGATCACGCCGTGAAGTCTGTTCTACGTAGAGCTGAAGTAGGCTACGCTCTCACCTGTGAGCCTCCTCTTCGTGTCTCTTATAGCCGGGCAAAGAACGGACGATATCTCGTCATCATCGAGGTTTGCTCCTGCCAAGCTGAGCTCAACATCTTCGAGACCGTGCAGATCCTCTAGAAGCTCCACTATCCTGTTCAGATCCGTCATTTTGTCAAAAGCTGTTTACAGGGATTCCCGATGGAGGAGTGGATAAGCAGGTTCGCGCATACTAAAAGCCATTTCGAAAATACAGCTTCAGTGCTCAACACATTTAGTTAACGTTTCACCCTTTCGTTGCAATCGAGACGCAGTGTGTCGCGATGAGTCACGAAAACTGCGCGAAAAAAATCCATACTGCCATGCGATAATCCCGTCTCATCCGAATCTCGCAAAGCATAAGGCTTGATGCCAATCAAGGGCGTATGTTATCGCGGATATAGTCGGACGATCAAGAACCTCTGTGTGTAGGACGTAGAACGATGGTATCGTCCAAAAACTCGAACGTCATAATATGGTGATCAATCGGGAATTTTCTTGCGCTCAACGGGGACAGCAGACACAGGATTTTTGCACGCATGTACAGCGCGTTTGGTAGGCAACCATCAACAGCTCATCAACTCCCGCGCATGGGGCAGCTATGCCGCGGATGGGGCAGCTATGCCATCCAACGATGGTGGCGGATAAATTCCGCACGAGCATGTGGTAGGACCGAAGTAACTTCATTTTTGACGTATGGTGAAACTACATTTCGGTGTTAGTTGGACAGATTCCGCTCGTGGGGCCGATATGCCACCGGTGTCAACTCCCAGTGACAAGCTGCCACTGAATGCATCCCAAACCTCTTCTTGCGCGCCCGATAATTCGATGAGACTAAGACACACCTTCGGGCCCCGAAGGTGTGTCTTAGTCTAATCACTTGTCTTGTCGTTAACCCCCGAAGTTCGGGGGTCAAAGTCGCTCCGCCCTGGGGCCCATTTCAAAAATCTCTTTGAATAGGCATTCTTGAGCTTCTTGCACACATAACCGCCAACTTTTGCCTAAATTGCTTTCAAAACCCTCCTTGAAGACTTTGGTGTATGGGATAACAATCGTGCATTGAGGGTGTTTCAATTATTCGCGCCGTGTAGGTCCTGGGTAAGAATCCTGGGTACGTCAATCGAAATCAGCTTTCAAGAAGGAAGTCCTAGGAGAAGGTCAAGATTTTGAAATCCGCTGAGGTTCCTGAGCCCCTTCTTAAAAGGGGTTCGTGAATCTGAAGAAGCCCTTCCTCGAAAAGATTGTTGAAATAGGCCTCTAAGGACTTGGTATTAGGGAGAGCTCAGCATTCGTCGAAAAAGGTGCAGTGCTCCACATTCTGATTAGAATTTTCGCGCTGTACATTTCACACATCACGTGCGACAAATAGTCGGCCCACTGGATCCGTATGCTACTAGTTCTTCATAGATTGGTCAGTTTGTGCTTTTCTGGCAATGACCGTCGTTACTGGTAAGCATCCCTCCTTCGAATTCGTGAAGCTGAGGAGGTACTGACCATGATTCGGGACCATATATGTGAATTATCTCACGAGGCGTATGTCATGCCAGTGCAGCATCTACGATCTCCAGCTACCCATTTCTTCAAGCTCTCCTTCTTTTTAGTTCGGACGGCAAGGAGTTTCGTCTCGACAAGGAAATAGCCTGCCAAGCTCCAAC